TCGTGTTATTTCACTTTATTGATGATGCAATACTCAAAATAATCCGAGATCATAAATTTTCACGTGTTTGTTTAAGCAAATTTAATCATGCTTTATTGTTATTTTGTATAAATAAATTTATATTTAGTCTTAAGCTATAACGTATAGTAAATGTGGGGGAAGAATAATTGTCAGCACTTGTTGTGTGGCAAAAGCAATTCCCTAAACGATATTAATGCCGTACCCTTCCATAAATGTGAAAATAAAAGCAAACGAAACTCCTCTTCCTGAGACGCAAAACCCCCCGGCTGCTCGCAAAGAAAAAAAAAACAGGTTACATCTAAGACGTCAAAAGGTAAACACGAAAAAAATAAACAGAGCGTCACTCAAATATACTTAGGAAAATTTCGTCAAGCACGAGACACGAGTGGGTGACGTCTGAGAGATGGCGCCGAGGTGAGGGAGTGGTGTGATGTATTGGAAGGTGGCAGTGGTGGTAGGTGGCAGTGGTGGTAGGTGGCAGTGGTGGTAGGTGGCAGTGGTTGTAGGTGGCAGTGGTGGTGGTATTGATGGTATGTGGTGATGGTTGTTGTGGTGGTGTTGATGGCTGGCGGAGGTGTCCTTTAGTAATATTTCCGGAAGCATGAGAGGCACGAACGTACACACAAGATCAACATCAACATATCTGAAACAACAGCCAGGGTCAGAGTGCCCCTTAAACTACCCCCCCCCCCTTCCCCAACCCTCACCTAAGGCCAAACAAACTCACTGGCACAAGATCTGCGGATATAGTAAGTGAAAAAAGGAATAAAATAGAAAGAGAGAGAGAGAGAGAGAGAGAGAGAGAGAGAGAGAGAGAGAGAGAGAGAGAGAGAGAGAGAGAGAGAGAGAGAGAGAGAGAGAGAGAGAGAGAGAGAGAGAGAGAGAGAGAGAGAGAGAGAGAGAGAGAGAAGGGAGGTATGCAAATGCCGGTGTGTGTGTGTGTGCAGTGTAAGCATCATTTGTTATATCCCCTCCCACCTCTCCCGTCGTATCCTCCGGGTCCTCACCCTCCCACCCCTCCCAGATGCAGGGAGCGGGGGATAGGGAGGCTGGCTGGAACGTGGTGAGGATAGGGCATAAACAACCCTACATCCACTCTCATTTATAGCCCTTAAGCGTATTTGGAATTTACGCGTCAACAGCTGTCTCCCTCCGCCAGCCTCCACAGCACCCGGGATGGGGATTATCATCAGTAACTCATCTCCCATCTCCAAGATCAACAGTGAGCATCGGAGATTTATGATGATTAAGCCACCCAAGAGGTGGCACGGGCATGAGTAGCCCTCCTGGAGGTAGTCTGACTCGCGGCGGAGGACAAGTGCAGTGAGCAAGGCAGTCAGAGGCCAATATGACCTCGGTATGCGAATATGTAAATTTAATGTGATCATGTAAAATAAGGCTTACGATATGTAATGTTGAATTCGGAGTTGTGGTTGCCGGAGAGTTTATATTTTGTCCTGGGGAACTGGTGGTGGAGGTGGCGATTGTGGTACATGATACATGTGGTGGTAGCTACGATCGTGGTAGTTATGGTTGTGGTCATGGTGGCGGTTATGGTTGTGGTAAATATTTGATGGTTAAAGTGGTGATAGGTGGCAGTTATTGTTATGAGAGTATCAGCTATTGTAGTGATGTTAGTTAAGGTTTTAGGGTTATGGTTATTGTGATGGATATATATCAGTGGTTGTAGTTATGGTAGTTATGCAGTGAATGGTTGTTATTGTGTTAGTGAAGCTGTTGGTACGTGTGCTGAACATGTTATCAATACTCTGATGGTACAAGTGGTCCTTATGATAGCGTGTTGATTATATTAACATCTCGAAATTAGAACATTGACTTATACACTGAACCTATCCATAATAACTGCCTTGGAATAAACAAGACCGGGATGCTGGTGAACAAAAAAAAACAAATGCGCGTTGTTTAGCAGTGGCTCACCCCCTAATCTGAGAGCACCAGTTGATTGCAACCTTGCAGTGATAAACGCTCTTCAGTGCGGAACAGTTCAGATGGTCACGTTGAGGGCCTCACCATCAGATCCTGGGTTAGAGTGAAGTTCTTCGGTTTCTGGCCTGGGTCCTTCTTCATTCATCCCTTCAGGAAAGGAATGTTTCCCGTTCGAAATCCAAAAGTGTTCACTCAGATCTGTCAGTTACATATTAAGGAGAAGGCTGGGATCCAGAAATTACTTAGGTCCGGCAGCTGCTAACGAGAAGGAAATGGGTGGGATTCTAAAAAAAAAAAAAATATATATATATATATATATATATATATATATATATATATATATATATATATATATATATATATATATATATATATATATATATATATATATATATATATATATTTACCTGTAGGTGGTGAAGAGGACAATGGACGATCTACTATAAAACCAAGAAAACGGCCAACCTACGCATGAGAAACTCTCCAGACACAAAGCAGAACGCTCTAAAGAGACCAATGTCGTCTATGCCTTCATATGCCCACTTGGGGACTGTAAGCCTCAAAGAATTCAGTTTATAGGCAAGACAACAACATCTCTTTCCAGGCGATTAACGATGCATAAGCAACAGGGCTCCTTTAAGGAACATATAATCTCTTCCCACAACCAGACCATCACTAGAGAAGTCTTAACAAAAAACACGGAAATCATCGATAGATACAGCGATAGCAGGCGGCTAGATATCTGCGAGGCACTACACATTAAGAAGTCGACACCAGCAATCAACAGCCAATTAATGCACAACTATATTCTAACCACTTCAAGACTCCGCACCAATATAGAAGCATCAAGAAATATGAGCCAATAGGCCGTTTGCAGTTACTTCCATTCTTCCCTTTAGCTTACAAAACATTATACCCATTGTTTCGTGTTCTGTCTTGTGTTGAAAGTTTGTTTTCACCTCATCCAAAACTGTTGTAACATATCACCTCACCCAAATGCAGGTATAAAAATCGAAGATGTTTAAGCTCTGTTCAGGTATAGTTGTGTGTGTGTAAACCAAAGTCCTTGAAAATGTAATAAGTTTTACGAAAAGCGCTCAAGTGTCACGTCAGACTAGAAGTAAAAATGAATTTTGGAGAATTGA